AGATGTGAAGAATCACCAAGCCAAATCTCTGGCCCAACCATATGTTTATGGGTTGGGTTTTAAAAGATGAGGTTTTTTTCTCCTTCTTTCCTTCCTTCCTTCCTTCCTTCCTTCCTTCCTTCCTTCCTTCCTTCCCTCCTTCCTTCCTGTCTTCCATCCTGGGGCTTGAAATCAGGGCCTAGGTGTTGTCCCTGAACTTCTTTCTGCTCAAGGCTAGTGCTCCACCACTGAGCCACAGCCCCACCTCCAGTTTGGAGTGGTTCATTGGAGATAAGAGTCTCATGGGGACTTTTCTGCCCAGGCTGGCTTTGAACCACAATCTCAGATCTCAGCCTCCTGAGAAGCTAGGATGACAGGCGTGCGCCACTGCTGCCTGGCTTTTTTTTTTTTTTGAGGGGGTGGGGTTACTGAGGCTTGAACTCAGGGCCTCACACACTGTTGCTTAAGCATTTTGCTCAAGGCTGGAGTTTTACTACTTGAGTCACACTTGCATCACAGATCCGCTTCTTTTTGTATATGTGCCAGTCCCGGGGCTTGAACTCAGGGCCTGGGTGCTGTCTCACAACTTTTTCTTTTTGCTCAAAGCTAGGGTTCTACCACTCAAGCCATACATCCACTTCTGATCTTTTGGTGGTTAATTGGAGTCTCAAGAACGTTCCTTCCCTGGTTGGCTTTGAACCTCAGTCTTCAGATCTCAGCCTCCTGATTAGCTAGGGTTAGAAGCATGAAAGCCACCAATGCCTGGCTAGATTGTTCCTTTTTAATGACCGCTTAATATTCCATGTGATGGTTGTCTATTAAAATGTAAACTCCTTCTCCCTATGTCAGATAATTGGAGGGAAAACTTGAGCTCTGCCTTTTTAAACAGCGCTCTAATTAGCACCTGTGTAACTGTCCGATAGTTCATTTTGTTTCCATCGCCTGGATTCTTCGCCTTAGATCAGCCGGGTAAAAATTCAAGTACGGAAATCTTAACGCCTTGGCTGGAGGATTGGCAGTCTGCCTTCAGAAAGCTCTAATCCTTGCTCTCATATTTAATTGGAGCAATCTTGTGGTATTTTACATATCCTTGTAAACCATTTAGATGCTTTTCTGGAACAAAGCAAGGGCCAAATAAATATATAAGCCCCAAGCCACCTCTGCTTCCTGATTAAATTACCCAGCCTCAAATTCAATAACATCCTTATTTTATGAAGAGGCAGCTGCTTGCTGTGTTCTAGATGCCTAATCCTCACAACTAGTACTACTACATTTCTTCTTCCTCCTCCTCCTCCTCCACTTCCTCCTCCTCCTCCTCCTCCTCCTCTTCCTCCTCCTTCATCTTCTTCTTTCTTCTCCTTCTATCCAAAGGCTTGGCACCAGTGGTAAAAGTCTGTCTACAGAGCCACACCTCCAACCCACCCAGAGCGCCAAGTTGGAGGCAGGGAGGCCCTACACTGAGTTTGTCCTCCATCTATCCTTGCAGCCTGGTACTTAGAGCTAAGGGCTGTGGCTTTGGGGACCACAGGATTGAAAACTCTGGGCAAAAGAAGACGCTGTCCAAGAGCTGCGTGAAGGCCCAGAGAATGCTCCTCCAGCCTGTTAGTGGAGGACTAAAATTTGCAAGCAGAGCTCAGCAAAGGAGAGTGGCCAGGTGAGCCGCGAGGTCTGAGGGGCAGCTCGCTTCTCAAGCCTTGCCCTGAGGGTGGCCATCATCCCAGACTTCTTGCCTCTGATTGCAAGCTAGGCCTGGTCTGAAAGGATGCCAGCGTTTAGACTCCATTACCACCACGGTGGGGGCAGCCACCAGGGGTGTGAACTTCACGCGTGACTGTGCATTTGAACTTAAACCCACAGGGCAGAGCTCGGGATCGCAGCGTGCTGAGAGTCTTGGCAAGCCCCCAGGCTTTTAATTAGGCCTGCAAAGAACTCCGCCTGGTGAGAGGGGGTGTCCGGCGCAGACAATTATTTCAGGAAAAGTCGCAGAAGCCTCCTCTTGGTGCCGCTTAAATCCTTTTTCTCTTTTTCAGTTCAGTATCTCATTGGGTGAGGGGGGTGGGGAATGGCTTGTTTGCTTCACAGGACTTGCTGGGAGATGTTAATTGTGTTGAGCCTGGCTGCTTTGTTTCTCCAGGAATGAGAATCTTGGGGGGGGGCGGGGAGAAGGGGTGAAGTCTGTCCTAATTGCTTGAGGGAGGCAGCCAGGCAAAGAAAGACTGGGAAGAGTGAGCCTCTGTTGATTTTGTGTTTACTATTTTGTTCTCTGGGGGGCGTGGCTCCGCGTCTGGGGCGTGGCTCAGGCGAGGGGGGCGTGGCGTTGCGAATAGGATATATAGCTCCACCTTGTGGGAGTGGCTTTAGCGATGGGGCGTGGTTCCGCTGTGGGGCGTGGTTGAGGTGACCAGAGGTGGCAGGGCAGGGCTTTGTGGAATGGGCGTGGCTTCACGGGTGGGGCGTGGCTCCGTGATAGGGAATGGTTCTGTTAAGGGGGCGTGGGTCGACGGTAGGGGCGTGGTACAGGCCGTGGGCGTGGCCTTGGTAATGGAACTATCTTTGTGAATGGGGTGTGCTCCCTGGTGGGGGCGTGGCTCAGCCGTAGGAGGCGTGGTTCAAGTGTCACCTGCCTGGCAATTACAAGGCCCTGAATTCTAATATCACCAGAAGCCAGGTGCTGGTCACTCATGCCCGTAATCCTAGCTACTCAGGAGGCTGAGATCTGAGGATTGTGGTTCAAAGCCTGGGAGGGAAAGTCCATGAGAATCATATCGCCAATGAACCACCAGAAATTCGGAAGTGGGGCTGTGGCTCGAAGTGGTAGAATGCTAGCCTTGAGTGGAAAAAGCCCAGGGACAACGCCCAGGCTCTGAGTTCAAGCCCCACGACCAACCAAAAGTAAATAATACCAGAGCCAAACGTGTGCACACAGACACACGCACATATGTTTATGTGTGCATATGTATATACGTATTCATATATTATATAGAAAATTCTTCAGGGCGTGAAGCTAAGTTTCCAGAACGAGGGACACAATTCAAGCATGTACAGTCTGATCCTCAGGCTCAAAAGTCAGAAGACTTGAACTCAGTGCCCAGGCTCTGAGTTCAAGTCATACTAGCAGCACGCGCGCGCATGCGCACACCCACACCCACACAAGCTAACTAAACAAAAACATTTGTCCCTGGAGCAGGCAGGCCTATAGGGCCTAAACAGCCTGGGAGGAAAAGTGACCTCTGCCCAGTACCGAGGCAGAGGGGACAGAACTGGCCAGAGCACACCCCGGACCAGAAGTACAGCAAGTTACTCCACTGAGGGGCAGATAGATGCACACAGGGACTCTTCAAAAAGAAAGGGGTTTTCCCCCCATTCGGGCAGAGCGCGACACAGACACAAAATGACTCACTACTGGTTTCTCATGGTGTTTATGAATGGGTTTGTTTTTTCCCTGATAAATTAGTGGAGGAGTTGAGCTCATCTGTGCAATGATAGCATGTACTTAATCAGCTCGTAGTAAGTTCTTAAGGAAGATATCGTCGAGTGGGAGAGGATAAAAGTGGGGTGCTATGCTAGGCGGAGTCCCTGTGGTTAGGTTGATGTCCGCTGCAGCTCTGAGCCGGGCCTAAGCCGCGTGATCAGAAAAGGCTGGGCAAAAAAACCCAAAACACAAGAAACCCAAAACGATCAATCACCGTGGTGCTTTGCTGTTCCAGAAGACATTTGTGGTTTTTATCAGAATTTCTCCCTTGCCCGTAAGAATGCATCTCGGATTGGAGCAGAATTGACCATTTCCCGTCTCCTGGCCAATGCGGATGGTCATCTGCCTGAGGCCCATGTGGTCATCTTGGCTTTGTGGCCCAACTGCCTCCCTACCCCTGTCTCTAGCCCTCAGCAAGCATCCAAGACAAGGCTTGTCTCTCCTCTGTTGAGAATCTTCTTTGGCTCCCACTGAATTCAGAACAAAGACCGCACCACAGCTCCCAAGGCCTGCAGTGTCTGCCCGATCGCCTCCTCTTTCTCGTGCTCCTCCATGTGTCCTCATTATGCCAAGCATGGACCTACCTCAGGGCCTTTGCGCTGACTGTTCTACCGATATCTACATGGTCTCTTCCTCAATCTCCTTCAAGTTTTTATTCAAGTGACCCCTGAAGTTGCACCCCTGAAGGTCCTTTATTTTTAATTAGCCTATATGGGTTGCACAAAGAGGTTTCGCTGTGATAGTTTTATTACTCAGTGTCCCTTGATCAAATTTACTCCCTTACTCTCTCTCATGTTCCCTGTCTTCTCCCTAGAAGTCCTCCGCATCGCCCCATCTCATCTTTTTCCTTTCCTGTATTTTCTCTCTCTATGGTGTTCATTGTTTTTGTTGTGCTAGTGCTGAGGCTTGAACTCAGGTCCTGGGCGCTGTCCCTGGGTTCTTTTTTTCAAGCACTCTACCACTTGAACCACAGCTCCATTTCTGGCATCTTGCTGGTTAGTTGGAGGTAAGTTTCTCTCCAACCCTCCTGCCCAGGCTGGCTTTGGACTGTGATCCTCACATCTCCGTCTCCTGAGTAGCTGGGCTTAAAGGCATGAGCATCAGTGCCGAGCTTAGAGGAAATATCTTGTGAGCGTCTCCTGGGCCTCTCCACCTGTGGTGTGGGGACAGTCGTGTTGCTCTTCCCCAGTGTCCCTGAGGATCATCCGGAACCCTCGTGACACTGTGGCACGGGGACGCTAAGCGGGAGAGCCAGGTTGGATGTGATTACAGGGAGATCTGTGTTGCTGTGGGGACGGGGAGCCAGTGTTGCGTGTGCAGGTGAGGGTGAGAGACTGAACTCCGGCTTGGAGAGGGGCTGGACTCCCACAATTCCTTGCTGCGCTCCTTCCTCCTCCCGTCCCTCAGTCTTGCCATCTGGCAAATGGGCTCTTGGCGAAATGACTGCAGACACAGAGCATGCGTGACCCAGCCCATGCCAGCCCCCCCCGCCCTCCCTCCCCAGAGTCTCACTCTTTGACACCCTCCCCCAACATGTCCATCCACAGACTCTTTTCCAGAGCCCCGAAGAGGGCTGGCAGCTGTATACCTCGGCCCAGGCCCCTGACGGGAAATGCATCTGCACCGCCGTCATCCCCGCCCAGAACACCTGCTCCCGAGACGGCCGCAGCCGGGAGCTGCGTCAGCTGATGGAGAAGGTAAGAATCTTCCAGATGAATCCATCCAGGAAGGCCGGCCAACTCTTCCAACTCCCCCCCCCGCCCCCCCACACCTCCCCCCCTACCCTGTGTGCAGGGTGGACCTGGGCACACACAGCCATGTGCTTTGTTCAGAGCTGACTGATACCCCAGGCGACCTCAACCCACCAGTATCTGAGAATCCTTCCCCTGAGGTCAGGCCCACCCTGCATGCCACTCTCCACCCCCAACTTTCTCTCTTTTTCTTTGTCACTTGTGGGGCTTGAACTCAGGGCCCTGAGCTTTTTGGCTGAAGGCTAATGCTCTATCCGGTTTTCTGGTGGATCATTGCAGAGAAGAGTCTCACCGACCTTCCTGCCCAGGCTGGCTTTGAACCTCGATCCTCAGGTCTCAGCCTCCTGAGTAGCTGGGATGACAGGCGTGAGCCACCGGCGCCTGGCTTCCTTTTTGGTGGTATTGGAGTTTGAACTCAGGACCTCCTGGCTTGCTAAGGCAGAAGCTCTACTATGTGAGCCATATTTCTAGTCTTTATTTTGTTTTTCCCCCAATAGGGTCTTATATGTATGTTTTTTTTTTTTTTTTTTGTCGTTGTTGTTTTGGTTGTGGGGCCTGAACTCTGGGCCTGGGCACTGTACCTCAGCTCTTCAGCTCAAGGCTAAAGCTCTACCACGGGAATCACAGCGCCACTTCCGGTGTTCTGAGTGGTTTGTTGGAGATCAGAGTCTCACAGACTTTCTTGCCTGGGCTGGCTTTGAATCGTGATCCTCAGATCTCAGCCTCCTGAGTAGCTGGGATGACAGGCGTGAGCCACCACGCCTGGTTAGCATGCTAACTTTTTGTTTTGCCCCGGCTGGCCTCGAATTACCATCCTCCCATGCTCTGCTTCCCATAAAGCTGAGCAAAGAGAGCACCCTGTTATCCCTCGAGGGGAGCCATCTGCACCCCTAGAAGCTCACGTGGGTCCTTTGTCTCAGGTCCAGAATGTCTCCCAGTCCATGGAAGTCCTTGAACTGCGGACGTACCGGGACCTGCAGTATGTGCGTGGCATGGAGAGCCTCATGCGCAGCCTGGACGCCAGGCTCCGGGCAGCCGACGGGTCTCTCTCAGCCAAAAGCTTCCAGGTGGGCCTTTCTGAGTTGGGGAAGGTCAAAGGTCAAGGGAGTGACAGAGACTTGTGCCCGGGACTTCCAAGTCTGGAAAGAAATGAGAGTGTGAGGGTCTGGGAAGGTGACTTTGTGGTAAAGTAACTAGCATGTATGAAGGAAGACCTCGGTTCGATTCCTCAGTACCACTTACACAGGAAAAGCTGGAAGTGGCTCTGTGGCTCAAGTGGTAGAGAGCTAGCATTGAGCCAAAAGAAGCTGTGGGACAGTGCCCAGGCCCTGAGTTCAAGTCCCCAGGACTGAGAAAGAAAGAAGGAAAGGAAGGAAGGAAGGAAGGAAGGAAGGAAGGAAGGAAGGAAGGAAGGAAGGAAAGAAGGAGAGTTTGATAGGGTCAAAATTCCCAGAGGGGCCAGGCAGTGGTGGCTCACACCTGTAATCCTAGCTAGTCAGGAGGCTGAGATCTGAGGATTGTGGTTTGAAGCCAGCCTGGGCAGGAAAGTTCATGAGACTCTTATCTCCAATGCACCACCAGAAAAACCAGAAGTGGCGCTGTGGCTCAAAGTGGTAGAGCTCTAGCCTTGAGCCAAAGAGCTCAAGGACAGCGCCCAGGCCCTGAGTTCTAGCCCCAAGACTGACAAAAGAAAAGAAAAATGGCCCAAGGTGGGTCTCTAGGCATTCACAGTGAGAGCGCAGGGGTCATTCTCAGGAGAGGAAAAGAAAGAAGCCATGCCTGTGTGCATCTGATCATACAAACTCGTATTTACCGAAATGAGCTCCAGGAAAGGAAAACAAGAGGGTTTAATAATTATTCTTTTTTGCAGTTTTTGTTTTCTTTCCTTTTTGTTCTGTCTGTTTGTCTATACATCTTTGGGAGGGTAAGAGGACGCACAGAAATGGAGGGATAAAGGATGAACAAATGCAGCAGTGCTACAAACTGGACACCATGTGGAAAATGAGCTATTCAACTTGTGGGTGGGAACAGGAGGGAAAAACTGGGAGAGAGCGAGGGAAGGGGTGACATTGTCCCAAAAGAAATGTACTCATTAGCCGGGCGCCCGTGGCTCACGCCTGTCATCCTAGCTACTCAGGAGGCTGAGATCTGAGGATCGCGGTTCAAAGCCAGTCGGGGCAGGGAAGTCCGTAAGACTCTTATCTCCAATAAACCACTAGAAAAACCGAAAGTGGCGCCGTGGCTCAAGCGCTAGAGGGCTTCCCTTGAGCTGAGGAGCGCAGGGACAGCGTCCAGGCCCAGAGTTCAAGCCCCATGACCACCACCACCAACAACAAAACTGCCCAGAGGGCAGAAGTATATCAGAGATGCTGAGGCTGAAAGGTCAAGGGTCATGATGGGTCACCGTTGTCCCTTGGTGGGCAGGAGCTGAAGGACAGGATGACAGAGCTGCAGCCCCTGAACCCTGTCCTGGAGCAATACAAGGCGGACACGAGGACCATCGTACGCCTGCGCGAGGAGGTGAGGAACCTGTCCAGCAGCCTGGCCGCCATCCAGGAGGAGATGGGTGCCTACGGTTATGAGGACCTACAGCAGCGCGTGCTGGCTCTGGAGGCCCGGCTGCACGCCTGTGCCCAGAAGTTGGGTACGTCTTCACCTTGACCTTGGCTGTTGATCTCTCCACCCAACCCTAATACTGACTGTCCAAGTTGCTCAAAAGCTGGCCATAATTTTGGCCTCTGATCAGAACCTCAACCCTTGACCCTTTCTAACTGGGGATGGGAATGGGGGGGTGGTCCAGAGGTGGGAATGGCCTTGACCCTTGACCTCCGATCTGTGACCTCCCCTAATGAACCTCTAGACTGGGATTGGGTTTCTGCGGTTTTTCTCATTCTGGTATTTCTGCCTGCCAGGCTGTGGGAAGCTAACGGGGGTCAGTAACCCTATCACCATCCGTGCCATGGGGTCCCGCTTCGGTTCCTGGATGACAGACACAATGGCCCCCAGTTCTGACAACCGGGTGAGTGATGTTGGCTACTCCAGGGGTCAGAGCCTGTGAAAAAGTGGCCACAGTGCTCTGGGGTTCCAGACCAATCATCAATTATTCTTTGTGTATGTGTGTGTGACAGTAGTGGAGCTTCAACTCAGGGCCTGGGCATTATCTCCTTCCTTCCTTCTTTCCTTCCTTCCTTCCTTTCTTTTCTTTCTTTCTTTCTTCCTTCCTTTCTTTTCTTTCTTTCTTTCTTTCTTTCTTTCTTTCTTTCTTTCTTTCTTTCTTTCTTTCTTTCTTTCTTTCTTTCTTTCTTTCTTTCTTTCTGTTGTGGGGCTTGACATCTGGGCCTGGGCACTGTCCCTGAACTCTTCAGCTCAAGGCGAGCACTCTACCACTTGAGCCACAGCACCACTTCCGGTTTTCTGGTGGTTCATTGGAAATAAGTGTCTCACAGACTTTCCTGCCTGGGCTGGCTTTGAATCTTGATCCTCAGATCTCAGCTTCCTGAGTAGCTAGGATTACATACATGAGCCACTGGTGCCCAACTTTCCACCATTTCTTTATCTTCAGAATGTTTATGATAATGTCAGTGCTGGAGTTTCTAAGAGAGTCTTAGTCCTCATGCCTGCCATGGTGGTACATGCCCTGTAATCCCAGCTAATCAGAGGCAGAGGTAGGAGGATCAAGATTTGAGGCATGCTTGGACAAAAAGAGAGGAAGATCTCCATCTCAAAAGACAGGCCAGGTATGGTGGTGTGCACCTGTCATCCCAGTTATGTGGGTATCATAAATGGGAGGATTAAAGACCATTCCAGCCTAAGCAAAAAGTGAGACCCTATTTGAAAAAAAAATGTGGCTCAAGTGTAGAGTGCTAGGCTTGAGCAAAAGAAGCTCAGGGACAGTTCCCAGGCTCTGAGTTCAAGCCCCAGGAACTGTAAAAAACAAAACAAAACAAATACCTATTAACTTGATGATTATGATGATGCAAGAATGGAGTCATCTTGTAGCTACAGGGCATACCTAAGCACCATGAGTTCCAGAGACTTGTTACTCCTCCTAACTATCCCATGTCCCATAAACAGTGGATTTGTGGGGGCTGGGAAGGTGGCTCAGTGGTAGAGCGCTTGCCTTGCATGCATGAGGCCCTGGGTTCGATTCCTCAGCACCCCATAAGCAAAAAGAAAAAAGCCAGAAGTGGCGCTGTGGCTCAAGTGGTAGAGCGCTCACCTTGAGCTGAAGAGCTGAGGGACAGCACACAGGCCCAGAGTTCAGGCCCCATGACTGGACCAAAAAAAAAAAAATTAAAAAAACAGTGGATTTGTGGGCCCAGTGGGCTCCCAGGGAGGGCTGTTTTTAAGATCAGTAGTAGCTGTGCATGGTGTCATATGCCTGTAATCCCAACACATGGAAAGCTGAAGCAGGAGAATGGAGATATTCCAGGATGCATAGTGAGACCTTGTTTTAAAAGACAAACAGTTCCAAGGTGGTGGCTCAAGTTTGTATTTCTAGCTATCCAGGAAGCTGAAATCTGAAGATCTTGGTTCGAAGCCAGCCTGGGCAGGAAGAAAAGCTCATGAGATCCTCCAATTAGCAAACAAAAAGCCAGAAGTGGAGCTATGGCTCAAGTGGTAGATCACTAACCTTGAGCAAAAAAGCTAAGGGACAGTGCCCAGACCCTGAGTACTAGCACACACACACACATACACACACACATGCACACACACACGCGCGCACACACACACAGAGTACTGGGGTGTGGCACAAGTGGTAGGGGCATGACTTGTGCGTAGGGGCCACGGCTAAACTATGAGAGTGTGGCTCCAGTGATGAAGGCAAGGTTCAAGCCTTGGAGCATGGCTCCTGGGGGAACGTGGTTCACTTGATGGGGTCATGGGTCAAGTGTTGGGTAGCTCAACTCAGGGGGCGTGGCTCAAAGGATGAAGATACTGTTCAAGCGCTGAGAGCCTAGCTTTGAGACGTGGCTCAGTGGTGGGCGTGGCTCAAGTGGTTAAATCAGGATCGGCTAGAGGGGGCGTGGCTCCATCGGGGGGCGTGGCTCCATCGGGGGGCGTGGCTCAAATGACAGCGCAGACTCCAGTGATAGGGGCGTGGCCCAAGCCCAGGGGGCGTGGCTCGCGTGATAGTCCACCTGCCTAGGCAAGCACAGGGCCCTGATCTCAAACCCCGGTACTATCTGAAAAATAAAAATAAAAATACATAAGGAAATAAAAAAAGCCTAAAAGACAAATAGCACTGCCAGCTGGGGCTAGGAGGGAGTGGAGTGGGTCAGTGGAGGGTCCACAGCCACGTGGTGAAGGTGCTGCTAGTGACAGTGCGGTTGTTGTTGGGGGGAGGGGGTGCCTGACTCCTCTTATGCCCCTCCCCTCTGGTGACACGTCCCTGGATGCCCCGCCCCTCTGCTGACATGCTCCTTTGATCACCGCCCCCCTGGTGCTCCTCCCCCTGTTGTCCCACCCCTCTGGTGACACACCCCTTTGGTGACCGCCCCTCTGGTGCCCCTCACCTCTGGTGGCCGCCCCCTCACCGGTGACACGCCCCTCTGATGCCCCGCCCCCACTTGGTCACTGCCCCCCTGGTGCTCCTCCCCTCAGATGCCCCGCCCTCCCGTGCTCCTCTCGTCGCCCCGCCCCTCTGTTGCCCCGCCCCTCTGGTGCCCCGCCCCCTGATGCCCCGCCCCCTGATGCCCCGCCCCTCTGCCCTCCAGGTATGGTACATGGACGGCTATTACAAAGGCCGGCGCGTGCTGGAGTTCCGCACCCTGGGCGACTTCATCAAAGGGCAGAACTTCATCCAGCACCTGCTGCCGCAGCCGTGGGCGGGCACGGGCCACGTGGTGTACAACGGCTCGCTGTTCTACAACAAGTACCAGAGCAACGTGGTGGTGAAGTACCACTTCCGCTCGCGCTCGGTGCTGGTGCAGCGCAGCCTGCCCGGCGCCGGCTACAACAACACCTTCCCCTACTCGTGGGGCGGCTTCTCGGACCTGGACTTCATGGTGGACGAGAGCGGGCTGTGGGCCGTGTACACCACCAACCAGAACGCGGGCAACATCGTGGTGAGCCGGCTGGACCCGCACACCCTGGAGGTCGTGCGCTCCTGGGACACCGGCTACCCCAAGCGCAGCGCCGGCGAGGCCTTCATGATCTGCGGCGTCCTCTACGTCACCAACTCGCACCTGGCCGGGGCCAAGGTCTACTTCGCCTATTTCACCAACACGTCCAGCTACGAGTACACGGACGTGCCCTTCCACAACCAGTACTCGCACATCTCCATGCTGGATTACAACCCCCGCGAGCGCGCCCTGTACACCTGGAACAATGGCCACCAGGTGCTGTACAACGTCACGCTCTTCCACGTCATCAGCACCTCGGGGGACCCCTAGGTGCCCCCCCAGGGCTGCCGGGGGAGGGAGGGCCCTGCCCTGGCTACCTGTGTCCCCCCTGAAGCTCTGTTTCCGTCGTGCCCTCTTCCCCTGCCTTTCCTTCCCCCCACCTCTCTTCCCCGGGCTTTTGTTCTCTGCTGCGCGCCGCCCCCTCTCCTCCCCCCCACCCCAGTCCTATTTCTATCCATCCCTTTCTCAATTCGGTGTGTTCTTTATTGATCTCTGCTTTTGATATGCCACTTCTTGAGTCTTTCTTGCCTTTTTATTGAAGTCCCCGCTCTCTCTTTCTTTTGATTGATGTGATCCTCCAAGTTCTCTCCCTCTCCTCTCCTCCCCTCCCTCTTTCCTTCCCACCCCCTCCCCCATCTCCCCTCTCCCCTCCCCATCCTTTACCCTTGGAGTTGAGTGCATGGATCTTTTTATTTTGATTTTTATTTACACATTTCCCTTCCGGGTTACTGGAATAAATGGGACCTTTGACATTTGATGCTTCTTCGGCTCCTCTGTGTTATCCAATGGTGACAGAGGTTGGGAAGGAGGTGGGGTGAGTGTTTACCCCTAGAGACCTATTTCTGCAGTGTCCCCATCCCTTAAAAGGCTAGAATCCCCTCCCCCCCTCCTCCAGGTGAGCCTTTGTTAGACACAGGTGAGAAGCCCCAACCCAAAACGTACTTCTGTCCAAAGCAACTCCTTTGAAAGCAATTGGATCAAAACTGAGAATTCTATTACAACGATGAAAATTGGCCTCAAATGAATATTCTGTGTCACCCGCTGTTCACTGATCGATCACCCTGGCAATCACTGAACTGTCTGGCAGTCTTTTAATGTGTCTGTTAACAATTTGGCTGCTTCTAAGAATCTGGGAAGGAAAGGTTAGCGTCCTGTCCCAACTGATCTTTTTTGCTTGGTAATTTCAAAAACCATTTTTTAGCCTGGTGCTGGTGGCTCACACCTGAAATCCTACCTACTCAGGAATTTGAGATCTGAGGATTTTGGTTCAAAAAGCCAGCCTGGGCAGGAAAGTCCATGAGATTCTTACCGATAATTAAGTGCCAAAAAGTTGGAAGTGGTGCTGTAGCTCAAAGTGGTAGAATGCTAGCCTTGAGCACAAAAAGCACTTGTTTAAGTCCAGTGACCAGGCCCTGAATTCAAGCCTCAGGACTGGTACACACACACACACACACACACACACACACACACACACACACCAACCAAACAACAAAATAACTCCTTATTAGACAAGTCAGGCCTCTTCTGAGACACAACAGCCTATAGATGCACTTGGCCTTGCCTACAGCATAGTTCATACCTAGAAGGACTCACGTAGGGATGGGCTCCTAGAGGAGAGACCAGGCCAAGACAGGAAGTTTTGGAGAAGAGGAGGGGCTGGGGTGTCACAGAAGGCAAAGAACAAGATGAGGGCCACATCTGTCTGGACTGAAGCTGGAGCTGAGCAAGAGGGCAGAGGAGGGACTAGCAGGAAGGACTGCAGGGGGTGGGGCTGTACCGGGCCAGGCCTCCCATCTGTGCCCAGGTTGGCTCAGTGCTATGCACAGAGAACCTGCAAAGATCCCTCCTGCACCATCACTGGGAGATGGCTGCTGTCCTTATCTGTAACTAATGGTCTCCATGATTAAATCATCTCCGGTACCCAGACACGGGGCCATATTGGGAAGGAAACCCATGAATAATAAATGGGGCTGCCTAATGCACTCATTTAGAATCCATTTTTAAAGAAATCCCCAAGAAGAGCAATTAATTTCCATGTAAATGAGCAAGGGTGCTGATGGAGGGGCGGGGGAGGGCGCTCCTGCCCCGTAGCATCGGGCTCCATTACCCAAGGGAAGGTGTGCACCCGAGGTACCACTGAGACGCAGTCTTTGTCCTCACCACGCTCAGACTTGGGACCCACATTCTCACTGAGGACAGGGCTATGTTGTCACATCTAGACCCCACGTCCTCAGAGAGGCCCAGTTTCTATACTTCCATGCTTGTGGCCTTTGTTCCCACAAAGGATGAGCACAAGGACACACGCACACACAATGTGCACACTCAGGGTTGTGTCTGCTTGTTAGCGGGCCAGCTGTGGGGAACTCAACTCCCCCATCACAGATGTGCACCTGGCTAGAGCTCAGGAACCCCAGGGCACCTGAGGTCATCTGCTCTAGCCCAGCCTGGGGCAGAGGGGGGGGGTAGGGAGGGGGGGCAGAAAAGCCAGGGCTGGCACATGGCAAGGATGCAGTCAATTCTCTGGGATGGGGGGAATTTTGTCAGGGAGCTGGCTCAGAGGCAGGGCACCTGCCTGGGGTGTGAAGACCCTAGGTCCCATCCCCAACACCACAAAAAATAATGACAAATAAAGACCACACAAGCACAGACCTAGAGGCCTGGGACTCCCTGCCCCAGTTCCAGGTAGGAGGGGAAGCGTGGTGTAGAGAGGAGTCAAGTTCTTCTATTGCTAGCTCTTTTTTCTCTCTCTCTCTTTTGTGCTGATCATGGGGCTTAAACAAGTCGGGGCCTGGGCTCTGTCCCTGAGCTTTTTGCTCAAGGTTAGCGCTCTACTCCCGGAGCCACAGCGCCACTTCTGCCTTTTCTTTAGTGTTAACTGGAGATGATCTTACAGACCTTCCTGTCCAGGCTGGCTTTGAACTGCCATCCTCAGATCTCACTTTTCTGAGTAACGGGGATTACAGGTGTGAGCCATGGGCTTTGTCAATGTTCTTGCTTAGGCTTTAGCCACTGTACAGACAGTGAAGGAGGCTGGGGTCCAGCCACAAGGCCACACGCAGTCAAATGCAGACACACACTCATGACCCCCAAAGCCTTTCTCTGCAGACCTCTCTTGGGGCATTTCTGACAAGGAGAGTAGGGCAGAGGGATGGGCATCTGTCAGTCGGGACTTAGGGCCCTGGACGCCCACCCCTCACTTGCTCTCTTTCCAGACCTGGCCCAGCTATAATGGTTGCCCACAGTCCCCTGAGCGGTGAGAACATACTGGCTGGAGTTGCAGCCTGGAAAGCCAGCTCTGCCCAGCGCAGCCGGGAAGAAACTCATTAAACCTTCTTAATGACAAATGCTCCAGCAGGCGGCTGGCAGAGACAAGTGATGGCTCTAGCTCAGGTGACTGTCGTGAGACTCAGCCGTGGGGGGAGGGGGTCCCCCGGCTCCAGCTTTCTTGTCTGAGAGCTCTGCCAGCTGCAGCGGCTCCCACCCTCATGCTGGCTGGTCCCCAACAAGAGGAGGGGGGCACCATCATAGGATCTACTCTCAATGCTGCCCCCCGCCCCCTGCCAGCCTGGAGGCAGCTGTGTGGAGGTGCCGGGGGATGGGGGCACATGGAAGTGAGGGAGGGCCCAGCTCCCCATCACTTTAGCCCCTGCCATGGGCGTCCCCTGGACTCCACCAGCCTTAGGAGGCTGCCTCCAGGATCCCTGCTCAAGAGGTGCCAGCAGCAGCTCTCTCCCTTCCAGGGGGAAATGGAGGCGTTACCATGGTAACAGCATCCGTGCTGGGTGCTGGACCAGCCGCTACAGCTGGACCCAGGAACAGCTTTCCAGAAGGCCTAGCTGTGGTGAGGATGCTGGTACCCCACGGGATGGGAGGTGGGGGAAGGAGAGGCGTGGGCGCACTCTCTGTATGAAGGCCTGGGCCCCAGCTCTGAGCCTTGTTCTCCTAGGACCCTCCCCGTCCCCCCGCCCAATCCCTGCAGGATAGATGCTGGGAGGCCCAGCCCTGAATCCAGGAGAGCTTGGCACCCTGAAACAGGAGCACTGGCTGTCCCAGGAGGAATACCTGCCAGACCCAGAAGGAAGGGAGGTTTCTGGGGCAGGAAGAGCAGAGCTTGGACACAGGGGCATGAGGGAAAGGGAAGGTGGACAGTGCCCCGCCCCCCTGGGGACAAAATGAGACACAGGCCTTGGAGCAGTGGTTCCGGCTTTAATGGGGACGCGAGGGGGCCCCGTGGCTCTGGCCCCCGGCATCTGCTTTCTGCAACGGAACAGAGGAGCTAGGCAGAAGAAGAATCAAGTCCGGGTCCTCCTGCCTGCCCCTGGGACTGGGAGTGGAGAGGGGGAGGTGTAGACTAGGCCCTCTCCCCTGGGACTGAGGGGGGGCGCCTCCCCACCCCCTACTGCCCTTCTGAAGGCAATTCCTTCAGGGGGAGAGCGGGAGGGACAACCCCAACTGCATACACACACACATAGGCAGCGGGAAGCCCAGAACCCCCTTGAACAGCCCACCCCGCCCCTTGACCAGCCATTTTGGAAACAATAAATATTGTGGCGGGGCAAGGTGCCCCGCAGGCTGGCGGCCCTCGGCCCTCACTCTGTGCGCAGGATGATATGGATGCCGGAGTCCGTGAACACTGGGCCGCTCATCTCCCCCGTCCGCAGGGCGAAGGAGGCGTCTTCAAATGGCTTCTGCATCTGACCTGGAGATGGGAAGGGGAGGAGAAGGGAGGAGGAGGGAGGGCAGGGGAGGAGGAGGGGAGGGGAGGAGGGGGGGGAGGGGAGGGGAAGCATCCAGGGAAGCAACTCAGGTTGGGCTGCTCGGGCAGATGGGGCTCCGGCCTGCGCGCATTCATCATGGAGTTTATGGTCCTGTCACAGCTGAGCTGCAGCCCAGCCGGGGGTGGCAGGGCCATTAAAGAAGCCCTGGGAAGCCCGAAGCGGCATGAGGGATGGCGTGCAGAGCAGCCGCCACTGCTGTGCGTTTAGAGCGATTTCCATGATGAACTCATCCTAGCTGCTCGTATGTCACCTGTCCCCGGCAGTCCCTTGCTCACGGCCCTCCCCGCTCATCTTAGGCTCCTCTCTGCAGCTCCACAGACCACTAGGATCGAGGATGGAGGACAAAGCACAGAGGTGGTGGAGGTGGGGGAGGCAGTGAGCCTCCTCAGTCCAGACATGGCCGGCCTAATCTGGGTGCTGCCCACCCAGATTAGACTTTGGTCTCCTCCCCTCCTGTGAGGTGGGGAGCAATCTGGGGGACAGGCCCTGGGGTCTCCGACCTCAGCCCAGAGGAGCAGGGCAGTGTCAGAACTGAAGGGAGCTGTGCTGCCACCTAGTGGGCTGCAGAGGTCGGTGCAGCAAGGGCCCA